ATAGATCTTACATTCCAGGTTCCTATGCAGTATTTTTCTTTGCAGCATTGAATTTTCCTTTCACTTCCAGGCACGTCCACAGCTGAGTGTCCTTTCGGCTTTGGCCCAAACACTTCATTACCACTGGAGCTACTTGTACTTGTCCTCCTCTCTTCCTCGGTAGCATGTTGGACACCTTCCGACCTGAGGGGCTCATCTTCCAATGACATATATTTTAGGCTTTTGTTTCTGTTCATGGAGTTTTCCTGACAAAGATACTGGAGTGGCTTGTCAGTTCCTGCTCCAGGTGGATCGCATTTAGTCAGAACTCTCCATGATGACCTTTCTGTCTTTGGGGTTCCTGCATGGCACAGCCTATAGCTTCTCTGAATTACTCAAGCCCCTTCGCCATGATAAGGCAGCAATCCATGAGTCCATGAGTCTCCAGCAAAGAATCCCCAGGTACTGTCTGCAACTCAGCATGAAAGTCTGACTAATTTATCTAGCTGCTTAAATATTTCTCCAGCACTTATCTGCCTCACTGTCAATCCAACGTTTATTGCTTTTAGCCACAGGCTATTCCAAATACAACAGAATATAATAAAACATGAACAAAAAATGCAGACATGGAATTTATGAATTATTCAACTATCTATTTAAAACATACAAGTTTACAAACAAGTAGAAAACAACCTGAAGCTACCTGAAAATTTGATATTTTCAGATCACTGAAAGTCCCTTGCAATCCAGTGTGATCTGTCTCAATGTTCTCACTTTATTTTCTTGGTTGCCACTGCATACAGCAAAGCGTACAGAATCTGTATTTCCGCTTATCAGAAAGCAGCAAAAGTACAGTTTTCACTACATGTCCTGCAAGGAAAGTGTACAATGGAAAGTACAATATGGAACTAGAGGCTGGGAATTCAATTTTCCATCATACTTCCTCGACAGTGGCTATACTCAATGACCCATAAGGTCCCATCCAGCTTTGCAGTTCTAAAATAAATCTTGTACACCCTCCCCCCCAATACATCATCTGTTGTTTACAGGGCTACAAAGAAATCTGCCATCCGTATAAGTAATTGGCATCTGGTAGGACCTTAATTCTGTAGGTCCCCTCCACAATGATGGGCATGTGATGATACCTTGACACTTGATGATCTTTCTTAACACCAAACCATTGGGAAGAGATGTCATCATTAACAGCTTCCCTCTCCATTGGATAAAACAAATGTTTTTAATAGTTTATTAAAAGCTGGATTGATAGCCAAGCAAGGGCACTTATTCTATGGAAAGTGAATATAAGTTCATGCAAAGTAGGCAAATGTTCACATACACCCATTTCAGTTTTTTTCAGCGGCACTTCTTGGGGAATCCTAAGATGGGCATTTCATTCACTCTGCAGTAATAATAAGTCATGCATTATTATTCCTATATAAAATGGAGGGGGGAGGTCTGTCTTTGCTCTCAACAAGGAACCCACATTAAAGGGAAATTTTATCATGGGATTCCAATGTGGATGTCCCCCCCATGAAACTCTCTCAAATGAAGCTGATATAAAGAATGATAGATGGTTAACATATAAAGATCTACTCATAAACGAAGATGACAGACAACTAAGATTAAGAACAAGAGAAGAAATGAATCAAGTAGGTATAATATGCCAGTGGTTTCCACACAGACAGCTATCAGAAAGAATGAAAATGATAATAAATCAATAGGACTGGTTAAAGAACCTATGGAACTAGACAAGATAATAGGGGAAAAGAAAATCACCAAATTGCAAAGCTGTATAAACTATTATTGGAAAGAAACATGGAACAGGAAGTAATTAAAGAAAATATGATAAAATGGATGCAGGAATTAGGTAGAACAATTCAAACAGAGGATTGGTTTAGAGCATGGGATTATAACTAAAAACTATTAATAACTATTAATAAGATAAATGTTGGAGATGTGAAACAATAAAAGGAACACTATATCATATGTGGTGAGGATGTAAATTTAGTGGGAAATTTTGGAAAGAAATAAGAAAAAATAATCACCATAGATTTAAAAATAAAAATGAAGATGAAACCTGAAACTTTTTTTGTTAAACATGGTAAAGTTAAACTTGAAACAAGAGACAAAAAATTGTTTATACATACCAGGCGCAGCCAGAATTCAAGTGGCAAAAAATGGAAAGACAAAGCAAAGCAAAGCATGCTGCTTATATACCGCCCCATAGTGCTTCAAGCACTCTCTGGGCAGTTTACAAGTTAATTATGAAGGCTACACATTGCACCCCCCCAGCAAGCTGGGTACTCATTTTACCGACCTTGGAAGGATAGAAGGCTGAGTCAACCTTGAGCCGGCTACCTAGGATTTGAACCCCAGGTCGTGAGCACAGTTTTGTCTGCAGTACAGCAGTTTAACTACTGCGCCACAAGACAAGGAGGAACATGCAGTGGAAGATTGTTTAATAAAATTACAGGAACTAACATTAAAGGACAAACTAACAGACTCATTGAAAGGAAAGAGCAGAATGGAGCATGAATCTCAATGGGGGAAAAGTAAAGAGTTATCTTAGAGAGAAATGGAAGAAAGATTCCAAACCTGTACCAAGTGACTTAGGTTTAAATTAGACACAGAATTGCTCTCAACAGAAGCAAAAACAAAGTAAAACAGATTGTTAATATGCATATAAAATAAGAATTAAGGAAGGTATTATTAAGACTGCAAAGAAAATAAATGTCTGGTGGAAAATAAGGAAGTAAAAATATTAAAGACTTACTGTTTTGCAAAAGAGATAATAGAAAGTTATTTTGGTGACGTATTAATATTGTGATAATTATTTACTTATTTTTATAATTTCTTTTTAAAAATGCAATAAAGATGAAAAGTAAAAAAAACAAAACAAGCAAAAAACAAGGCACCCAAATTATCCAGGGCTAGAATAAGAGTGTTCATTATAAACCCATTCCGGAGTACCTCCAATGAAACAATATTACCCATTTGTCCAGTTCTTGCTCCACAATGAAATCTGTGTAAACAACTGCACAGCTTTTTAAAAAAATGAATTGTACAAACTGACCACTCTTAGAGCGAGAGAGAGACAAAATACATGTATAATCACTGGAAGATTTCTAGAAACCATCACTCTGACTGCATCATAATTCTTATTCTAGTTATGTTTATCATTAAAATGTATCCTTAGGAATTTAAAAGATCTACTAAATTCAATAGGACAGCCACCCATAAGCTACTTATATTGCTTATTTCTTTTATAAGTGTGTCTTATATCTATCTGGTTAAGAGAAAAGAAGGTTATGCTATCGACACGCAACAGAATTTGAAACTTGCTTGTTTTGAGACCACTACATTATCAACAACAACAAAAAAGAGCTAAATAAAAATATTAAACATGGTGAAAGTTGAATGCACATCTTGATTTCATATAGAGACTTTGACCACTGTCAAACAAAGAATCCCTAGGTACTATCTGTAATTTAGCATAAAGGTCAGATTAATTTATCTACACTCTCAATTATGAATCTATCACTTGCCTGCATTATTGAATTTGCCTGTTTTATCCAAACCTTGCAAATCTCTAGTAACACATACTATTGAAAAAAATCCTGGGGATGAGAATGTTGACCTGGTTCATTCTCACAGCGTAAACAAGAAAATGTGCAGCGGTGCAAGACGTTTTAATGTTCTGGGTTTTTGTCTCAGTCTTCCATCTTGTGTTGGGTTTTATCAGGTGTGTTGCCTTCTTACATGAACAAGAAAAAGCATAGATTGCATAGATTGTTTGTGTCATTGCATAGATTGTTTGTGTCATTGACCAGACATCTTATCCTTTTGTGCTGCTGAACTCTTAAGGAAAAGGCATTGTTTTTGCACTGCTGCATTTTGTGTAAAACATGAAAGCACAATGAGTGAAGAGGGCTTTTTGCCCCACCCTCACAGTAGAGGCAGAAGCTCTTGCAGAAGTTGGCAATTCCTCAACAGGCTGCTTCACCATACTGGAAGAGCTTGTTCTTGAACAGAAAGGAGAGAGCAGAGAGACTATAGAAACCTTGTATTCTTCAGCAAATGATCTATATTAGAGTTTGGAGGAAAATAGTACATTTAATGAAGTTTTTGAGGGTGAACTAGAATTTTCTTTCTCTTTGGTTCTGTGAGATCAGAAACTCTAAACAATGTAAGGTTTAATTTTGAGGATAAACTTAATAACTATAACAAAATAAAGATTATTTGGATTATATATTTATTTGCATTTTAAGTATGTTTTGCAATATCTGTGAGTGAACATTTTTTAGAACTGTGCTGCTTGCCTTGTGTCTCAGTGGATACCAGGCTGATAAAGTACCTCCCAAAAACTACTTATGAGAAGACAGCTTTCTTGGTCTACATCTGCTGAGCAGATTACCTTTCCCTATTTGCATCTGAATTTGTATCTTCTGTCCTGCCACCTAGTCTAATTTTAACAGTATATTCTGTATCTGTAAGTCATTGATTATTTTGCCAAGATGCAAATGATATTTGCAATGATATTAACCCTGTTGTGAACAAAAATGTGCTGGTAACATCTATTAATATAGAGTATTGGCATTACATACCTCCAAGCTAATCCGTATGTTTCAATTATAGTTACTGCAACAAAGATTATCCTATGAACAATAAATCTCTTTTGTGTTTAAGATTAGTGCTTCCTATGACGCTGGCATTCAAAGCCTCATAAATGATTGCAGAGAGAGAGAGAATTTTCCCTCTGGATAAAGTTCTGTGTACCTTTTAGGATGCCATCTGGAAATGCCATCCTCAAGCACTTTAGGGTAGCTTTTCAAGGGCAGTAAAGAGGGTGGCAGAAAATAATCCTGGAAGCTGTCATAGACTGGACACGGCATTTTTCGTCTCAGTATATAGCTCTGACAATCCTCTGCTTAACATCAGTGAACGTTTGATCTCAGAAACAGTAATTAATGTTAATGAAGAGAAAAAATGCTTTTGAACAAATTATTTTATTTCAGCAGCATTATTATTTTTTCAGGTAGTATCAATTTTCTGGAAGACGTCAGAGACCTTGCACAATATACAGGCATCTCTCTGAACTCATAAATGTAGTACATTTAGTAAAACGAAGCATAGGTCAACAGCTTTCTGGGAACACAACTTTCCAACAAGTACCCCTTAGCTAGCAGCACAGAACCATTCCATCTAGAACACTTGAAAAAGTAGACTACAAATGAGCCAGCTGTAGGTCAAAGCCCCTTTCCTGACATATTTTCTGATGAATCTATACCTGGCCCCTAATTACTGTTCAAAATACACAACCTGCCACCAATAGGACTTGTAACAAAGCGTTGCAGAGTGGAGTGCTCCTATTCAGAGGTTCAGTCAGTCAATGAAACACTTTTCCCGGGCACTGTACCCAACTTCCTCTCTCCTCGAGATTTCCTAGCCCACCCCAACAGCCAATCACATGCTGTACTCTAATGTTTCAATCTGCAAACTACGTGGTTCTGCCATTTCTAACAATATCATTTTGGCTTCATAAAGATCAACACTGAGAGGACAAATTCTGTGTTTGTATATTAAAAAGCTCTGTTGACTCTTTACAACATACAGGTGAATAAAACAGCAGTGGCTCCAATCTCAATGTCCTTTTAGATGAGCACAGGGTAATGGGAATGGAGGCAGTCATATGGCTGTAGGAACATGTGGAGAATGCTACAATAGAAATTTCCAGAGTGGGTGGTGATGTCAGTCTGTAATGAATTGCCACAAAAACAACAAAGTCTGAATCATCTTAAAGATTAACGGGTTTCATCTGACATAAGCTATCACGGACGATAGGCCGCTTCTTCAAACACATCTGAGGCTTTTGTTGTTTTTTCTCTTTTGGAATAATGTCCCAGAGCACTGAAGCTTCCCTCGGTAGCTTTGGTTCACAATTTATTAATAGAACACATTTAGAACACTGGGATATAAGACAAGTTTTAAATGGGGTTTATAAAAAGACAGCTTTACTTGCAGTTACTCTGCAATGTTGAAGAAATTAATATTACAACAGCACTCTAAAGATACTTGGAAAAAAAACCTGAAGATCTTTTCAGTACAAGCGCTATCACAGTTTATTCACCCCTGAATATTCCACATTTAGGTTTCAGCCTGATTATTATTATTATTATTTTACTGACTTTGTCTTTGCATCAGTAACCAAGATTATGTGCAGATGACATTGTGATTTCCAATGAAGAAGTTAAGTAAATGGGAGGTTAATGCAAAACTAACCCTGACAGCCAAATCAAATATCCTTTTTCAGAAGGCATCTGTTCTTTAATACAGATTTCTAAGTAAAAAGAATGGGGTAGAAGATACCTGTTACCTGTAAGACCTGCTTGTACATTTCCCCAATGCTTCACACTGTCAGCTGTTGGAGACACAATGCTAGAAAAAGAGCTTGGAAAAAGCATTATTTTGGATTATATCTCCCAGCATCTTCCAACCAGCAATGTACTAAATTTAATTAATCAATTTGAATGTTTAAAATTTAAGATGTTTATATACTGCCTTCTACAATATTTGCCTCAGAATGGGTCACAATGGAAGTTAAAAGAAAACAAAACAAAACATTTCTTTCTTTCTTTCTTTCTTTCTTTCTCTTTTTATGCTACCACATTGGTGTTGCCACTCTCTGGGTGGTTTATAATATGCAATAATGACATAATAAACAAAGAAAGAAAATAAATTCTAATGCAATAAAATATATTGGATTTTCCCATGTATAAGGCGCTACATTACACTAAAAATTGAGGGGTATCTTTTACACAGAAGTAAGTTGAGAACAAAATAGCCTGTACCTTGCCTCTGCAAACAGGTTTCCTTCAGTCATGAAGATTATCTTCCTATAGTCAGGAGACTTAGCTTCCTCTAATCAGGAGCCTTATGGGAACTGACATCAGCTGATGCTGAACAAACCAACTGGAACACACCTCATTGGAGGTGGAGCCTTTAGGCTCAGATTCAACAGGGACTCCTAATGTCCGAGTGTTCTGAGCCCAGAGACTGAATACTCAAAGCTAAGTTTTCTTAACTTTTGGGTTAGAAAAGGGTGGGATCTTATAAATGGGGGTGTCTTATATAAATGGAAAAATACGTAATTAAACTCTGTCACTAGCTGAAGCTACTTTTAAATAAAAAGGAACAAATTAAACCCATTTAATATATAAGGACAAATTTACACTAATAGAAGGCAGCTTCATATAATTCAGTCTTAATTAGCTTCCTATGAACAGAGAGAGATGGTGCCTAGCAAACATCTTTAGGAAGGCTGTTCCAGATAGAAGGGGTCACAACCAAGAAGGCTCAATTCTTCCTGCTGCCTCCTCTCCCCTTCTTGGGTGTTACAGTTCTTAACATCTCTGTGCATCCACAGAGACAGCAGGGTCCAAGAGTACCCCAATAAAAACAATTCAGACCAATAAAGAACAAAGTTATTAAAAACAATACAAGATACTGAAAACTTCTTTTCTTGTGTTTCAAACAGAGAATTCTTCCAACAACTAAAATACAAGCTGTAAAAAATGCTTGTGACAAAAGGCATTTTAACATGACCCTTATAAACAATCAAATTTCCTTGAGAAAAAAAATTCCCTCAGGGGCCAAGTATCTCCTTGGTGTGGAACAGAAGTGGGTGGGCAGTACAAAAATGTAGCACGGGACTCCTGAAAGACACAGGTTATGATCACAGCTCTTATTTTAATGAGTCATCAAAATAAAAAAGTTTTTTTTTAATTTCTTTCTAATGTTGCACTCAAAATATTCTCTCTTCCCAGCCTTTACTATGTTTTATTAAAATAACACAATCTCCTGTTTAACTGGAATAGCTCAAACTACGGTACATCACCTGGTTTGAAGTGTCTGCAATGGCAAATAATTCTTCCCTCACCTAATTAAGTGCTGGTTTTATCTCTAAATTTCCCAAAGCTCTAAAGTCCTGATAATTTTAGAGTATACACTATATCCTTCTTAATTAGCCTCACCTCAGCACTTAAGGTCTGACTTGACTATGTTCCGGATGCTACTTCATGGAAAATATAATTACCTTTCACAAGGAGCAGATCATTTGCTGTAGCATTCTAGAACCAGTTGGTATTCTGTACTGAGAGTTCTGTCCTGTCCCTTCTCTAACGATTTTTTATTACACTTTTCTTCCCTGTTCTATTTTGTTCTTACTGCACAGCATGTTTTGCCCCCCCCCATTATATCGCAGACCACTATGAACATTCAGTGACTAGCAGTATAGAAATATTTTTTATTAAAAAGCCTCATGAAGGCAGCCTAGTGAATGTTTTCACAACTGTGGCAACCTGTTGCTCTATAACATTCTAGTGAATATTCTATTCTATTCTATTTTATTTGATTCTATTCCTGCACCTGGTGGATATGTTTCACAAGGTTTGACTATAAAATAAGGCTTTTTTCAATAAAGGGGGTTGCTGCTGCTAGATCCTCTCCCCAAATGAGATAGGGCTTTATCCCTGAATGTGGTTTAACATCTCTGAAATGCAGCCCAAAGCTAGGGGAAAATCTCCTTCTACTTCATCAAGCTTGAAGCCAGAGGAGGGTGATGGAAGTTGAGGAGGAAAGCTGGCCTTTTCTCTTAAAAAGCTCAAAGATGGAAATGGAGGCATTCAAGAAAAACTTAAGATAATCACCTGGCAGATACGCTTTGATTGTATTCCTACACTGAGCAGGGGGTTGGAGTTGATGGCCTTGTAGCCCCTTCCAACTTCACTTTTTAATGATTCTATGAACGCTTGATCCACCTTTATTCTGAACAAATACTATGATTTTGAAACATTGTGCAATCCCTTGTGTCTCAAATCCTCAAATCCTGGCCAAAAATTACAGTATATTGATAGATCCATTGTCTCTTCTAAAAGCAATTCTGTTTTCCTGTTTCTCAAAATTAAAGAAAATAGTTATTTTCCAATAGCTTTATAAAAATGTCTGAATGCTATAGGCCTCTGTACAGAATACAGTCTTCTTGTGTCCACTTTGTCAACCCCAGTGACCACAACAAAGCATATGATAGCACCATGTGAATCACATGCTCTTTTTTCCTTTCCATTTAGTGAGGACACATACCTGTACAGGTAAAACTAAATAAAGAGTGAGTTAGTTACACAGAAAAGAGTAGTGGAATGATCCATCATTCAGTTACAATCAGAATGTAACTTAAATATTCTTTGTTAACTGAAAAGATAATTACCCTGACTTGCTGGATTTTATCTGTTTATAGGTTGCCCATTTACTACTTTATTCTTATTTTGTTATGCCAATAAAGCCATGATGATGATTATGATGAAAAGATAATTTGTCACTAGTTACTTTATTTTCCAGCTCTATGCTCCCCGCATCCTGCTTGGACCTTGAACGGAGCATTCTGGGAGCACAGACAAACTGACTAGTTTTTATCTCTATTTCTGAAGTATAAGAGACTAGAGGTGGAAAAAGGCAACTGATACCATCACATTTCAGAATAGGTCTCCATATTTATTTATTTATTTGTTTGTTTGTTTGTTTGTTTGTTTGTTCGTTCATTCGTTCATTCATTCATTCATTCATTCATTCATTCATTCATTCATTCATTAAATATATACCCTGCCCGTCTAGAACGAAGTCTATTCCACCAAGTGTCAATTGCATCTTGTAATTTTAATTCCAATCCTGTGCTTCAGAGTCTAGCCAGTTAAATGATTCAGATTCTTATGTGTCTACTCTCATCTCATATTATACAGCTGATGAAAGGTTCTGAAAATCTGACAAATCACCTTTCCTGATATTTTAATGGTACAGTCTAAGTATTGTCCAGGTCAGATTTTGGATACTGCTTACAGATTACAGTGGGGTCTTGATTTGAGAACTTAATCCGTATTGGAAGGCGGTTCTCAAGTCAAAAAGTATGTAAGTCAAGACTTACAGATTATATGGCTATGTTTTTTCTTTTACTTTTTACAAGTAAAATATTTGTTGTATCCTAAAACTACTTCCGATGGACTTCAGCAGATCTCACAAGACAATGAAACCACTGACAGAGAAGATTAAGACTGCATAAAGATCCTGATACCCAATGTATCGTCTGTACTTTATTTAACCTCTTTTTCTCTCTTATATAAATGACCTTTCAGACTAGCCCAGGTCCCCCCAGATCTCCAGAAAGAGTTGCAACTAGTAATTTTAGCATTTGAGACAAGCAGCACAAAATGGACCCCTAAATGAAATAAGAAATTCATGGTGTGAATTTATGATACAAGAATTAATTATAGCACTGAACACCTCATCAGCACATGGTCCAGGTAGACACACCTTCCTTGTGGGTTGGAAGTATGGTTTATCAATTCCTGGGCACAACAGACATCTGCTGGCTCAACTGGGTCTGGTATACCAATCACCTTCCATATGATCGTTCCTGCTGGCCTGGTAGACTCCACTACAACCTGCCAAAATCAAAACAATTGTTTGCCTTGGAGGTCTCTACCACCATCATTTCTATGGGGAAAGGTGTGTCCCAGTTGCCCTTCACTAGTTATGGCCCTGTCTCTAGGCCAAGGTTCCCTCTAAGTTGGACGCATGCGTATGTGCATGCATCTCTGCCTCCCTCCAAGTAACTGTCTTCCTCTTCCACATAGCGATTGTGTTAGGTACTGGTCATTATGGAACCCTGCAAGGAGGGGGTGGGGCTGGAGTCATGCATGCATGTAGGGGCAAAGTTGTGAGAAAGAGTTGGAGCCCCACCCAGCAGAACTCAAAGTTAGAGGGTACATTGCACTAGGCTTAGGTGATGTGTAATTTTCTCCTGTCTTATACCTGGTGTACCTACCTAGGGCATCAAAGGTGAAAAAGCTTCCCCTACAGTGGCCCTTGTTTCATGCATCAAGGCTGGTCTTTTGATTCTTAAATCAAAATGACAGGTTACTCATCTGTAAACTGTAGTTCTTCAAGAAGACCTCAGTGATTCACAACCTGGGTGATTCATGCCTGCACAGAGCCTCATCGGAAGATTCTAGAGCTTCTGCGGTAGCAATGAATACATTAGAATATGCCCCTCCCCACCCATATAAGTACCTTGGCACCAAGCATTCCCTTTCAGTTGTGTCAACTGCCACTTAATAGTAAGCAAACAATGGCATGGCAGAGGGGAGGACAGGCGGGATGTGTGAATCACAGAGGTTCACTCAAAGAACTACAATTGCTGTTCTTGTTTGTGGACTCTGTGAATCACACCCTGGGTGACTAATAAGCTGTCTTACCCAGAGGCAGGGTGTCATGCCAAGGTAGAGGCAAGAACAGCATGTCCAAATGCCACATCAGACTTCTGCCGGAGGTCAAGTCTATAATGATGGATAAACGTGGACAGCTGTGCCCAAGTGGCAGAGGCACAGCTGTCCAGAAGAGGGAAGCCACAGAGAAAGGCTGTAGAAGCTGCCACTGCCCTGGTGGAGTGAGGTCGAACAATCTAGGCGCTGGTTGTTGAGCAAGTTGATAAGCTCTGTTCTGTTCTGAAAATTTTACTGCCATTCACAAACCACAACAGCACACGCAAAATAGGAGAAACAGAATTACACAAATTAGGAGTGAGAAGCAGGGGACAATTTGAAAATTGCAGATAAGAAATCTGCAATAGCAGCAGTCAAGGAATTACATTCATCACTCATAAAAATAGAAATAATTGACTCAGGAGAGTTGGAATAATAAGAAATCCAAGGTTCAAGAATTTTTTTGAAAGTAATAATGAGTAGGGCATTGAAACAGTATATGAAACAGGGTATCAGGAGTCTCTAAACAAAAAAAAAGTCTTCGCGAATACAAAAAAAAGTCTTTTTTCAAGGGGGATATTAAGAAGATGACCGGCATGGGTGGCCAAAGGAAAAATATTTAAACAGGCTAACATAAAAGCTCTACTTAGATGTGGGTTTACTAGGGAATGGAAATATTTGGGGAAATGATCCTGAGATGGAAAAAATCCAACAGAAAGGGGGGAACACACAGGAATAAGGTTATTGCATAGGTAATTAAATTCAGTGTGGCAGAGCTTGTCCTTGATTATGGAATAAGCCCTAGGGAGATTCATATCTACCAAAGATTCCAGGTATATGTTAAGAGAGAAAAGTTTCTTTTCAAGAAGCCAAACCAAGAAAAGAAATAAGAATCACACAATAAATCGTATAACAGGGATCCAGAATGTGAATTTAATAAAAGACGAAGCCAGAATTTAAACGTTTGTAACCAGACAGTTGTGGAAGGTAGGTGAATACCCAATTCTAAAGAAATGGTAGAAAGCTGAATTAAATTGGGAACTCCTAATATTCTACAAAAAAACGTTGCTGCAACTTGATCAATATCTGAGTTTACCAAGTATATCCATATAGGCACACCATATAGCAAGTGAGAAAGAATCTTAAACTGAAAAATCTGAATGGCTGCTAGAATATATTGATTTCTAGAAGAATAATGAAACTTAGAAATAGCTTTTAATTGGGGGGGGAATGGAAGAGATAACAGCTTTTTTGTTTGACATCCAACTGAGTTTGTGATGAATAAGACCCAAATATTTATAAGAGTGTACTTGATGACAGGAAGAAGATCCAATTGTCCAAGGAGAAGGGGACCAAGAACGGGAAAAAAAACAAAATCTGGGTTTTACTAGAGTTAATGGAGATCACAAAAATTGAAATCACAAAAATCCTGAAATTTAAGTAGAGTATGACAGAGGCCTGATCTGGTATGAGATATCAGCACAGTGTCATCAGCATACAGGAGTATAGATAAGGGAACACCGTTAAGGACCAGAGCCGACTGATTGCAAGGGGAAAGAAAAGAGGGAAGATTGGCTAAAAATAAATTAAATAATAGAGGGGCCAGAATGCAACCATGATGGAGACTGTAGCAGAACCCAAAAGATGACATCATTCCTGCATGTCAATCAGAGGATAGAGCAGGAGGGGTGGAGTCAGAATGACAGTTAAGACAGCTGGAAGAGACAGAGGGACAGTTGGAATAAAACAGGGATAGAGAGAAGTAGGGACAAGAAGGTGTGGAGAGAGAGCTGGGGTTTACGAATAGCTAAAAAGGGGTTAAGAAAGGAAATTGAAAGAGTAAAACATATTGAGCAAGCAGGAATGAACACATACGAATAATAAAAGAAATACCAGTGATTGAATACATGATTTATTGTGCATAAACACCTGACTCAGTTATATATTTGATTTTCCTGATGATTTTGTTCATTAATAAAAGAATGTTTAATTGAAAACCCCTGATTCCTAAGTTATATGATCAGCTCCTATGTGTGTGGGAATGGTATTGGTATTAAGAGAATACCTGGTGGCAGCGAAAAAGGCGTGTTTACCTTTGTGGAGCCCAAAGATGTAAAAGGGCAACAAGGGGGATCGCCACAGACACCTTTAAGAATTGGAATTTTTTCAGTAAGAGTGTTGGAGTATTTGGAGGTTGGTATGATATTGCCGAAAAGATATAGGATGAAATGGAGAGACCCTTGGATTTGAGATGTAGGAGAAAGGGGAGAACAGTGGAAAGTGATGGACTGATGGAGGATGATGAGGAAGATTTGGTAAAGGATTGAAATTTCTTCCATTTGTACAGGTAGACTTTCCTTGTGGATGGTTTTTAGGCATGATGAAGAACATTCATTAATGAGGGAGAATCCTCCATGCTGCCAGGTGCAGAACAGGTAAATCCGGGTGTAGAACTTGGGAGTTGTTCTGTGTGAGAGGGTGTGGCAGATGGTGGATATCTGATGAGAGACTGTGGAGAAATGGGAACCAAGTCCGTCTCGGCTACCAAGGGGCTATAACGATAGCATTGGTTTTGTCTTGTTGTAAACGAACAACAACTTTGTGGAGGAGAAGGAATGGCAGAAAAAGGTAGGTAAGAGTCTTGGGCCAACAGCTGACAAATGTGTCTCCCTGGGAATGTTTTCCTATTCCTGCTTGGGAGCAATACAGTTGGCATTTCCAGTTCGCTTGGGAGGCAGAGATCGAGAGTCGGTGTGCCCCATTGCCGGCATAGTCCACGGAGCTCCTCCGACCTGCATGCCCCACCCAGGGTGATCGGTGGCACTTACTCATGAGTAGACCTGTGCATTTTTTTTAGCCCTTACTCATGAGTAAACCTGCACCTTTGGCAGCCCTTATTCATGAGTAATCCCATACCTTCGGCCCCACCCCACCCTCACCAAAACCCTCCTACCTTAATCGCTGCTACTGAGGTCTTCTGGCCTCACAGCCACGTATGTAGAAATGGAGAGTGCCTGCCCTTTGCAAAGATGGCGGCTGCAGCTTCCCTACCCTAAATGAAGCTGCAGCCACCATCTTTGCAAAGGGCAGGCACTCTCCATTTCTACATACGTGGCTCCAAGGCCAGAAGACCTCAGCAGCGGTAATGGAGATTAAGATTATGGTGGCAGGGGACCCACGCAGTGCCTTCTGAGGCCTCCAGAGGCATAGGAAGGCAGCGATAGCGGCAGCGAGACCCCCAGGAGGCTTCGGATCAGAAAGGTGCTACTTTTTACTTTTTTAAAAATGGTCTGGTGGGTTTGTGCTGGGGGGTATGTTTCTATGTTGCTTTGTTTTTTGGTGAGGTTTTTTTTTTTGCAATTCCAGCGTGAGACTTGCACTATTTATTTATTTAATTGCCCACCCCTGATACAGAGGAATATTTTTCCCTGTTTTCCTCTTCTAAAAATTATGTGTGTCTTATAGTCAGGTGCGTCTTATGGAGCGAAAAATACGATATATGGGTGGGGAGGGGCATATTCTAATGTGTTCATTGCTACCACTGAAGCTCTAGAATCTTCAAATGAGGCTCTGTGCAGGCACAAATCACCCAGGGTGTGATCCACAGAGGCCACGAAGAAGAACTAGCTTGTACCTCTGTGCTTTATTTTTGTTCAGCCATTCAATAATAGGCACAGAACAAAGAGGAAAATGTTTGCATTTCCAACATTCAACTCCAAGTATTGCCAGCAATTCCAAAAGAACAGTGAGAAAATCTCTGCTTTTAGACACTTTAGCTGAAACAGCTCTTACAGAGAGGTGAACAAATTACACAGAACAGCTTCCAATATCAACAGGATACTATCCTTACACACACACACACACCCTTTCAAGAACAAAAATGAAACTACCCTTATGCACTTTATCTCAACAATATCTTACATATGAATAGCAATTATAACTTTCTCCTATTTTATCCTAGGGTGCTTTGCTCAGCATGCTCACCAAAGAATAAGTTCTATTGAACTCAATCAAGCAGACTTCTGAGCACAGGCTATTAAATCTAAGTAGAAGTCATTAAAACATACAAAATAAAAGGTTTTAGAATGAAAGCAACACTATGTCTGAGTATGCTTAATACAGCATGTTCAATGTAAAGACTAAGAAAATGGATGATGAAATGGATGATGGAAAAAGATGAAACTTTTAATTGGGCCAAACCATTTCAGGGTCAAGCTATCTCAAACTACATGAGATACTCAGCTTGCACATGGAAAAAGTGCTCCCTCTAGTAGTAGTATTTTGCATTTCAGTCTGTTTTGTTCTGTGATTGGTCACTAGAAGGTAAACATTGACTTAATTCACAAATCTGATTGCCCAAGTTCTTATCTCCAAAATGGACACCTTTTAGGATGGAAAGAAAATTATAATCCCAGGGAAATAAACATTTTGATGTCTTGTCTTATCCCCAGACTATTGTTTAGAAAAAAGAAGGAAAAAATTTTGAACCAGACCTGTGTTATGTTCTTCCCTGGGAGAAAATGCAGATAAAATAACCAACAGGTTAGAAAACTGTGCTTCTGCACAGTTTCATATAGATAATTGATTTGTCGAGAATTATTGCCAGTACTGTAGATAGATGTCAGTACCTAGAATTAGCACATTTATTGTTTTCTGTTCCATACCACAGCCCCCTAAAATTCTGCAGACTTATCAGTCTTTCAAGTACTACAGAAATATTCCTCCCAG